GGCTTCCGCAGTTTCTTTTTCTTGAAGTAAGCATCTGTAAGGTGCTTTGGGATTTTTACTTTGCTAATATCAATTTTCGTGGAGGCGGCAATGACAAATTTCTGGTGTGTTCTATGCAGATGAACTCGATTGAGGACCAGCGGTCCAGTTACAAGTAACAAGCCACTGCTCAGCTGCTTCAGGAAAACCACTCTCTTGCCTCTGTGGCATCCAGTGAGGATAATCAGAATGGTCCCAGGAGTGATGCTGGCTCGCAGCTTTCTCACGTGCTGACTGAAGGATTTTTTACCATGGCTCAACAGCTTTCAAGGCACATCTTCAGTAGGATGATACCTAGGCATTTTGCAAAGTTTAACCATCTGGGTACCATCATTCTTGTCTCCACCAACTGGTTTTGTGACAGTGGCAAGAATCTCCTCCTTTTTCTTTTCGATCCTGGATTTAGTGGCCGAATATTTCCTCTTGTGCATGGCCTTCCTGGAATACATGGCAGACTGGGAGTATCTGCCGATGTCCTGGACTAGGACGAGGTTTTGGTTGCAATGGAGCTTCCCCTTCTTGGGCTTTTTAGCCTTGGGAGTCACCCTTTTTAACCTTGCCACTGGCATCAGCCTTCCTGGCTTCAGGTTTCTTCTCCTTAGTATCCTGCTTCGCAGCTTTATCACCTGCCATCTTGTATAGTAGGCAAGAGATGATTGGGGGAGTTTTAAAAAATTATTGTATGTTTATTGGTTTTACTATCAGGTTGTTGGCAAAGTCATGGAGTATTTGTCTATGCAAAAATGTATCGTTACTTTCTCAACAACCCAATAATTATAAAGGCAATACATTCTCTTGAAAAATGCAAATTTACAAAAAATCTATTACTGAACACAGTGGTTTGCTGGCACCTCTCCCACCCCAGACCGGCAGTCAATAGTGATGGCCCTGCAGGCTTTCTTTCCTGTGGGTATGCAAGTGCATCATCTCCCTACAAAGGGGGCGCTCTGTGGGCCGGGCGGTAGCACAGAAGTCACGCACTGCTCAGTCGTACAGGGCACACATGAGAAGCTCCCAGGTTCATGTTCCAAAGTCTCCTCGTGCGTGTTGGGTGTGTGGGTGCCCATGATCCAGGGTAGCTGAGACTGGGGCGGGGATCACGGCATGAAGACCCGTTTGGCTGTCTGTCTGTCTCTGTTTCTCTTACTCATGAAAGACATGAAGAAAGAATCTTGGGAAAAAAAGAAAGAAAGAAATTTTCCTCTTTCTGGATTCAGAGAGATGGAGAAGCCTGGGAGGAGTAGGTGTGAGGACGATTCTCCATCGCAGGTTTTTAAGACGAAGGGGGAGGGACCAGCAGGTGGTGTGGTGGTTAAGGCGCTGGACTCCCACATAGCTGACCACGGCTTGAGTCCCAGACCTAGTGGCTTGCTTTCTCACTTTCCCTCTCTCTCTCTCTCTCTCACTCTCTCTCTCTCTCTGGTTAGCACACATGCCCTATAGAAAATTTTTTTTAAATGATAATAATAAAATTAAATACATACTTAAAAAAATAAAAGATGAAGGGGGGTCTCATGGCAAGGACCTGAGTGGGCTCCAAGAGTTGACAGCGTCCCAAACTGATAGCTAGAACTGATAGCTGGGAACCTCCTGAAAACCATAAGGAGCTGAATTCCCCCATCGGGACAGTCCCCAGGCAAACTTGGGTGGTTGGGGACTTACCTGTACCCACAAACCTCGGCTAGTGACCACAGGAGAGCAACACTGAGGAGGACTGATAGGGAGAGCACTAAGCACTAACCAAGTCCCTTAGGAAGACTCAGCTTTTCACAGCAGATCCAATTTCTCTAGACCTCACGATTAAGTACAAGTGCTACCTATTCCAAGTGTGGGAAAACTACTTAATCGGCAAAGGATTTCATGGTCCATGACTTGGTAACTGTTACGAACGCTCTGTCAACTCTCCTTAGGGCATTTTAATGCACATCACCACATCAAAGGCTCTGAGAAGTCCTGCAGCAGCGAACACATTTTATTTGAAACCTGATTTTATTTGGTCTTCTCAGTACGCGCCAAATCTACTGAACCACACACAGGCTTTTTATTTTTTTAACACTTCCTGCTTATGATCATCCATTTCTATACACGGAGAAATAGAGGTCTCATCCATAAAACCAGGCACATGACTTATTCAGGAAGACATATCTATTTCAGATGTCAGCACATGTCTCTTTGTACTCAGTGAAAAAATGTCATCTTAAGCTTTTTGCTCTATGGTGCATGTACTCGCCAGCGAAAGAGAGACAGAGATAGTAAGAGGGAAAGTGAGAAATCACCCCCCAGCAGAGATGGTCACACCATAATCCCTTCTTCTCCATTCTCCTCCTGGGATTTTGGGCACACACGCACCTGGCATGATTTTCAAGTCACTGGGACTTGAACTGTGGTCAACCATGTGGGAGTCCAGTACCTTAACCATCATGCCACCTGCTGACCCCCCATATATTAATTTGTAATAAGACACTTGGGGGAAATGACTGAGCTCTATATGGAACTTTCTTTCTTTTTTTTTAAGAGAGATTTTTCCTATAGGATGCATGTGCTCATCAGAGAGACAGAGAGACAAAAAATGAAATCACCCCCCGGCAGGGAAAGGTGGCCACACCGCAATCCCTTGTCCTTCATTCTCCTCTCAGGAGTTTGGCCACACACGCACACGTGCCTGGCATGAGTTTCAAGCCACTGAGTCTGGGACTCAAACCACAGTGGACCACATGGGAGACCTGTGGGAGAACCATTATGGGTCCCATATACAGAACTTCTAAGTGCAAGCAGAACTAGTCAGAACTGCACTGAAAAGACTTAGGACTTGAGCTTGAAATACGGTGAAAAGGAAATGAGAATTTTGAGACAGGTGGATGTGAGAGATTTCTTTCTTTCTTCATTCATTCATCCCATGTACTCGCCCAATAACTTAATTTACTCTCAACAAATATACATGCCAGGCCCTGGGCCAGGCCCAGCAATACCACAGTGAGCCAGTGACAAGGTCTCGGCACAGCTCATGTTTGGGCTTCTGGCCTTAAATTTCTGTGAGCACAATGAAAGGGCCAGGGTACACGAGACAGACTTTGAACTCAGATTTAGACAGTGGTCTGATTTAGAAAATGGTCATGATGGCTTCCCAGAGAAAAATGTCAAGGCTTTGATCCAGTGGACAAAAAGGGTGAGCCAGCAGCAGTGTGTGTAGGAGTGCAGTGCTGGGCCAGGGAAACAGTACTCTGAGCAGAAGTGACAACCTTCTCCAAGGTCTGGAGGGGAAACAGAATTCAGAGCATTCCCTACAGATGCAAAGTCAGGGCTAGAATGCGAGTGCACAGTAGGACCTCCCACACTAGGACTGCTACTACTATCAGCACCATCATGCCCGGGAAGATGACCTTGCATCAAGGGATTTGATCTGACTCTGCTTTGCTTTGTGCTTGGGAGTTTCTTGGGATTCCCTTTAAAATCTGTTTAAAGCTTACAGACTTCTTTTTCAGGGACACAAAGTTCCCCAGGAAGATATAAATCTACATATTCACAGACCATACTCCTCTGACTTCTTTTCCCTTCATTGTATGCTGGGTCCCTCCAGGTTCCAAAGAAAACAGCCCGACACCCGCTACCTCAACCTGACACCTCTTGGCTTTTCCGTAAGACGCTTCCTGTAGCCTGAGACATTCAGAGCAGAAGAACTCAGGGGACGCTTGCTGGGCTGCATGGTTTTTTCACTGAACCACAACCACGGAGGCAAACGTGACTTCCCCAAGCAGGAAAGCACAGAGCTTTCCCGGTGGAAACTCTGATTAGTAACGCCAATCCCGACCGCGTCCTCTCTGGGGGCTGGAGCATGTGTCCGGTATGGGCCACTGAACAGCAGGGGTGGCTAGAGCCAACACTTACCCCTCTGAAATTCCAGGCTTTGGGAGAAGGAAACATGGGGCCGTCCTGCCGCTGCCGTTTAGGCCTAGAGGAGGAGAGAAGACAACGTGTTCCTTATTCGTTGGTTAGATGCTCAGAGACAACTGCTGGTTTTGAAAGCAGGTTTATCAGAGATGCCCAGAGAGGGCCCAGGCAGACATGGTAGCTGGAGTCCATACTCCATAGTCTTCAGCAGCCAAATTCTGATACTATAAAAATAGATTGTGCATTTACTACAATCATTATAGCACTTTTTTAGTAAGAATTATTTAATTTTATTCATCATTATTTTTAAATTTTTGACCACAGAGAAACAGAGAGGGAAAGTGAGAAAGCAAGCCACCAAGTCCAGTGCTTGAACTGCAGTCTACCATGTGGGAGTCCAGCACCTTAACCACCACACCACCTGCTGGTCCCCCTCATAGCACTTGTAAAAAAGGCCCAAGCACGTGAAGAGGAGGTAGGGAAACAGGAGATGAGGCTAAACAGGTGGGCAAGGCTGGAGAGAGCAGCAGAGACAGGGGTTTGGCCCTAGGGGGGCTCCACTGGAGTGACATGATGAGAGTTGCCTTTCAGAACAATCCCTCTGGCTAGAGAGAGGGAAAGTTGGGATTCCCTTTAAAATCTGTTTAAAGCTTACAGACTTCTTTTTCAGGGACACAAAGTTCCCCAGGAAGATATAAATCTACATATTCACAGACCATACTCCTCTGACTTCTTTTCCCTTCATTGTATGCTGGGTCCCTCCAGGTTCCAAAGAAAACAGCCCGACACCCGCTACCTCAACCTGACACCTCTTGGCTTTTCCGTAAGACGCTTCCTGTAGCCTGAGACATTCAGAGCAGAAGAACTCAGGGGACGCTTGCTGGGCTGCATGGTTTTTTCACTGAACCACAACCACGGAGGCAAACGTGACTTCCCCAAGCAGGAAAGCACAGAGCTTTCCCGGTGGAAACTCTGATTAGTAACGCCAATCCCGACCGCGTCCTCTCTGGGGGCTGGAGCATGTGTCCGGTATGGGCCACTGAACAGCAGGGGTGGCTAGAGCCAACACTTACCCCTCTGAAATTCCAGGCTTTGGGAGAAGGAAACATGGGGCCGTCCTGCCGCTGCCGTTTAGGCCTAGAGGAGGAGAGAAGACAACGTGTTCCTTATTCGTTGGTTAGATGCTCAGAGACAACTGCTGGTTTTGAAAGCAGGTTTATCAGAGATGCCCAGAGAGGGCCCAGGCAGACATGGTAGCTGGAGTCCATACTCCATAGTCTTCAGCAGCCAAATTCTGATACTATAAAAATAGATTGTGCATTTACTACAATCATTATAGCACTTTTTTAGTAAGAATTATTTAATTTTATTCATCATTATTTTTAAATTTTTGACCACAGAGAAACAGAGAGGGAAAGTGAGAAAGCAAGCCACCAAGTCCAGTGCTTGAACTGCAGTCTACCATGTGGGAGTCCAGCACCTTAACCACCACACCACCTGCTGGTCCCCCTCATAGCACTTGTAAAAAAGGCCCAAGCACGTGAAGAGGAGGTAGGGAAACAGGAGATGAGGCTAAACAGGTGGGCAAGGCTGGAGAGAGCAGCAGAGACAGGGGTTTGGCCCTAGGGGGGCTCCACTGGAGTGACATGATGAGAGTTGCCTTTCAGAACAATCCCTCTGGCTAGAGAGAGGGA